CATTACCCATGCTCCTCCAGACTGTTCGTCCAGCCCCTACACCTTTGGTGAACGGGCTGAAAGAAGTTTTCAAAAGCTCAAAGTTTGGTGATGTTACCATATTTGTAGTTTCGATTAAGATCAACAAGATGTTTAGTTTTTTCATTCACAGATACTGTGAGTGGATCTCTGAATGAGTAATGCGGCTGTGCCAGTGGAGCCACACACAGCTGCGTCAAATTAAAAAATAGGCAAAATCCTGCAGGGAGAAGTACCCTGAGATCCAGTAAGTGGGGGCAGTTTTGGGGTGGGGGGCTGTGATATGTGACCATGTTTTGTGTTATTCCCTGAATAAACACAGAATAATACTAGAATAATGCACAATGTCATATTAACTAAGACTGGTTTACCTAACAGGGAGATGCAGTACCATGTATATGGAAGCTTTGTGGTGGTTTAAAGTGTATTTTTAGGCAACACTTTTTTGTTTGTTTTGGATAGAGTGAGGGTAATTCCTGTCTTAGACAGTTGTCACCAGAACATTTGTCACAATTGGAACATATGCCCTCACCTCTTGCTCTGGTGACAACTCTAAACATGTGGATTTCTCTTCACTTTCTGTACCAGTGACAGTGGGCACCAGGACAAATAAAGTGGTCAATCTCACCAACGGGCACAGAGACAGCAATAGAAACCTAAGTGTAATAGAAAATTATATGAAATATGCTTTAGAAGAGAAGTGTGTGATTGCTATTCAGTTTACATTTTGAAAATGAACTTAGAAATACAAAAAATGAATAACTTTTCTGCAGTTTACTTGTCTTGACAGTGGTACTGTGCTGTTCTGATGCTTGCAGAGCTCAGTGATAATGGAACAATGCAAATACTAGCCTGAAAACCGAAATCTATATCAGCAGTCTGGAATTCAGAAACTATTCTGGTCTTCTAAAAAACAGCAACTCTCCATAGAAATGTAATTATCCTATGTTTGATGGGATCATCTGCCAAATAGTAATAAGATGAAGGCTGTTTTCAATTAAGTAAACGTTTGCTGTGGGGTAATAGGTACATTGCGATAGCTGACCTCCTATAAAAATGAAAGTTCAGTTACTTCAGTCCTTTTAGGACTGGGGTTCAGAGTTCAGATTTCACTCCATTGGCTTTAGACTCGTCGTCTGATAATTTTTCTTTTAGTACAGTTATCCTTTATGGCCACCAGTAAAGATGTCACCCAGAGAGGCTCATCTGCTTTTGCGCAACAGTAAAAGCATCTTCATTCATTCTTTTTTCCCCCAATTCTTTATATAAAAATTCACTGGCAAAAGAATGAAATACAACAAAACTGGTACCAATCAGGATAGACATTCAGAACAATCACAGCTGTACAGTCAGTTGCATGCAGGAATAGGGAGTAGAGTTTTAGGTCAAGGTAATTCCATACTATGATTCTAAAGTCCCTGATTTTTCTTTTTTTAGTCAAATCTATACCTAAATTTCATGGGCAGTACATGTGCATTGTGCGTCTGTAGCCAGAAATGGATTAAGGCAGAATGGAGCCCTAGGCAAGGCTTTGACAATAATAAGGATTGCAGTAGGCACAGAGAAGCCTCTCCGTTTGCATTGTTTATATTGGCATTGCCCCATCAGAGTGCTGTAGGTGTGCTGCTGAATGCTGATTACTTCAGCAGAACTGCATCTATGTGGTCCCTACCAACATCAGACCACTATTTGGAGAATTTGAACACTCTTTCTTTGATCTGCCATATTTATATAGTATATACTGACAGACCTGGTTTTCATTCTACAACTTGGCACTGATGTTTAGCATCCAGTGCATATCTGTCATCCTGTCATGGTTGTTGCTAGGGTTCAGAGCAACGCACCTGACATGAGGCGAAGCATTGACACACCATGCTGCCTCTCATCTGCTCTTTGTTTATGGAGCAGATGGTAAGGATCCGTGGTGAGCAAAAACACTTGATTAATGCTCATATATCATCTTGCCTCCTCTTGCCATTTGCGTATGTTCAGAATTTTGGATGGACGTTCTCAGAATATGTATTAGCCTTACCCAATGTCAGGAGACAGATTGAAACATTCTTTACCCATCTTCACTCAATGGAATTGATCCCTAAAGCAGTAGATAATGTTTAATGGGCAAAGAGAAAGTTAACTTGGCCTAGTCAATAGCGTGAAGCAACGTTCACTTTAAAGCCCCACTTTTTAAAAGCCCCAGGCGAATGCAATAATTACTGCTTTGCTAGGCACATATATAACTGAGCACTAATTTTAGCTCAGTTTATGTTTTAGCAGCAGCATTCTTGCCAGATGCTGCCAAAGTCTTTGACATCATCCTTCAAAGGCTTTATTTTTGCAATATTCTGTCCAGGGTACTGGACCATTGTTGCTGCTCTATCCCTAGCAGGGTGACCAATCCCCTCACTAGCCCCTGTATAGTCATGATCTATGATCAGTGATTTTGTTCATCTCATCAGCGAAGAAGAGAAAAGTGGACAGTACTATTTTCATTGAGCAGGAACTTCCTGCCTGTCTTCGCTCACCCTCTCCCCCACTTGATCATATCCGCCCCATCGTATCATATAATCCTTTGCAGATTGTGTGTACATCATTAGAATGGGAGATTCTGACATTTAGGTAGTGTTAGCTGTTAGTGTTAGGTAGTTAGCTGCTGATGTGAAGTAATACTCATGGATTTGATCATCCTTTGCACATTGTAGATCTCATTGGAGTACAACTGTGGTAACACCACACGTGTAGTCCGTTAATTACTCCCTCCGTTCTAAAAACCAAAGGTCCTTACCTCTAATTGGACCAGGGCTGGGGGAACAGTCTGCAGAAGCCTGTGCACTGCACCCACCATCCACTGATCTGGGCTGGAGTGCTTTGCAGGCTCCAATGCATACAATTCATAAATGCACTTGTGTTTGTGGGGTTTTTTTTTTGGGGGGGGGGGGGGCCCAAAAAATCTTGCACCAGGGCCCTTTGTTCCTGAGTTCCGCCACTGGTGCAAACAAAACTGATAAATGAGTCACACTTAGAGAAAAAAGAAAAAAAATACATTGGATAATATAAACGCAGTGTGTAAGTATTCTCATATGCTGTTATTTTGAGAGCTCCTGGACTTGTCCCCATGTTCAAGTCTTTTTACAGTGACTGTTAAGGAGACGTGATGTTATTTAAAGAAAGTGAGTTCATGAAATAACCTTTAGCACCAGGATGAAAGGTACAGGAAGGCAATCTCATGTGAACATCAGTTGTTGGCTTAGACAGTCTATCGAAGCCAGTGCACTAGATCTCCCGTCTTATATACCGAAGATTGTCCTGACAGTCATTTGTCATTTCATGGCAGGTATGAGCCGCATTTCTGTACATAATTGCTGAGTACTCCATTTTTAAAGAAAACTATAGTGTGTTTCCAGTATGCATTTTGAACTATGTACATATGACTTCTACTTTTTACATATTTGCTGTTTCGTATTTCATTAAGTGTATCAAATATAGTTTATTGTTGCGGTTATCTGAATGTCAGTCAATGTAATCAGCCTTCCTGAACAACAGCTGCAGAGATTACATGATAAGTCGCACAGAGAGGGTATTGTATTAAACAGTGTGGGCATGCTGAAATTCTTACATTGAGAGGGGCAGTAAAATCACAACATTACACTACTAAACAGGAAGCGGAGTCTAAATATATAATGAGCACAAATGGCTTCCAAGTGTGGGTACATATACTGTGTAAATATCACAGAAACATTGACACATTTTTATCAAACTGATCACAAACATGTATATATCATTACCTATAGGTTCAGACAGTACTGAAATCAGCAGGTATCACATTGCCTTTTACTAATGCTTTTTATAGGTAACCTGTCATGTGCAAAATATGTGGGCTGCCATTGTCGACATCTAAACAATGCTAGTCACTTGGTTGTCATCCTGATCATCTTACTCACCAACTCAATAAAACGATTACAACTGTGGAATAACCCCTATTATTAGTGACTGCAGGTAACCAGTGGAACAGCACAATAGGTGAATGTAATTGATGGTGTGGCACACAAAGCTTATGGGAGCCCCAAGGTGTAGATCAATAAGGGAAAAATACCCGTCATGTACTTGCATGGGAGACACGAGTGCAGGACGGGTATTTTTTTTTCATTTATATTGATGTAAGTTGCCAACACCACCCAGATGTTCCCCCATGTGGATTGAGGATTGAATTCCCCCAGACATTGAGAATGACCACACTCCTTCTGCATGGAGACAGCCATATTCTTCATAGGCAGTTAGGAAGATTGTACATGCCATATTCTTTGGCTGTTCACAACCTCAGAATATGTAAGTATTTTTTGTCTAATCACTTCATGAACTTAACTCTAGCATGACAAAGCATATACTACACCATAAGGGCTCTCCTGTCTCTCCTCTTTTCTTCTTTTACTTGGTCGGATATCTCTGAAGTTTGCATTTTTTACTTCCTCTTCACCACCCTATGGATTCCATGATGTACATGCCCTTCTTTGGACTTTGGAACGTTGTCCATCACACAAACAGGATGGTGATCCAGACACCTCTTATGGGCGTGGGATATGAAAGCAGACTGTTAAGGGACCCAAATGGCCTACTTTACCAGCCAATTTAATGTCAATGTTCTGAAATGAATAATCAGACCTGAAAAGCAGATTATGGGTTTGGATTTGCCAGATCAGCTAATCTTACTGTACTTGCTCATCATTATGTAGAGTATTATAAATATTATTAAGTGAACATCTTAAACGTTTCATATTGCTACTCAGAAAGAAATCACAAAATTGTAAAGTTTGCAATACATGATGTTCAGCTTAGAATTTTCAGATTAGATTAGTGCTGACAGGGCCACCCATGGCTTGAAACTTAGCCAATTCAGCAGGAATCGCGGAAATCTGAGTAGTTTATGGCCAGTTTAAGAGGCATATCCATTATCTGTTTTTTAAAATGTTCCTGTTTTATTCCTGCAGGTATATTTGGGCAGAAACTGGAAGACACGGTACGCTTTGAGAAGAGGTATGGCACACGTCTGGCTCCCATGTTGGTGGAGCAGTGTGTGGACTTTATCCGGCAGCGTGGGTTGACAGAGGAAGGACTATTTAGACTGCCTGGCCAAGCAAACCTGGTGAAAGAGCTACAAGATGCTTTTGACTGTGGGGAGAAACCAGCATTTGACAGGTAATTTGAAGACTGAAAATGACAAAAGATAAACATTTCACAGTTTAAGGGAGAATTTCAGTCATAGTAAAAATCACTTGCCCCCTGTTTTAATTGTCAGATGCAGTGTCACATGCAATATTCAGGAAATCCCTTCACAGCAACTGAGAGATACTTCCGCTAATGAAAGTAATTTGATGGGTGGATTCGCTGTTGGATATCACGTTTAATGAAGCTCTTGTTATTCAGAACCCATAGAAGCATCATTATGTCCCACTTGGTTATGTTGTCTAAAAAGGGGAGCAGGATCTCTCCCAATCTTGTGTGGCTCTGCCCTTACCGCCTTACTATACCTGCATAGAAGAGACAAACTACACCCTTACAACACAAACATGTACTTTTATTTTTTTTTTAGGTTCGGACTAGAACATGGAATTTTTATAGGAAAATTTCCACTTTCCTTTACCTTGTTTTTATACATGAGATTTTGTGATTTCTCTTGTTGGCCTAACACTTCTGCTTTATAATTTGGCTGTATACATGGCAGCCAGCCCCAATTACAGCACAGACCTGTTGCCATCATTATGTGTGTCCTCGCAGCCTTCACCACTAATAGAGACACGCTTGACAATGAATGAAAAATTGGGAAGCTGCTCCCATACCACATTTTTAATTAGTGTAGAAATGAAAATGTTGACACAGACAGATGGTCCTGCTGTCCTATAATGTGCAGTCATTAAAAGGCAGAACCTCGCTTCTGCTGTTGTCATGATTCTGGGTTGTTATACACAAACAAAAGACAAGTTGCCCATTGAATTTTCTGGAAACTATTGTCTCTAAATATCTAAATATGCTGCATCTAAAGCTTTTCTCTTCATGACCCAATGTAAAAAAAAAACAGAACATTTGTGTAAGGAATATTTCGTCCTGCCAGACATTTTATGAGACCAGGTGCTTCATCATGGTATATTCAGATGTGTGTTAGCACAAGTTCTTTCAGGAAGATCATTCACAAATATTACAAAATACATTCCCAAAAATGTCTGTGTATTCAAAGCAAAATAAAATAAGTCATCAGTATGTTTACTGGTAGACTCACCTATATATTAATATATCTTGTATATACCTATATACTAATATAATGTATCCTGTACATACTCATGTACAAATATAATAGGGGTATATTATCAAAACTGGGGCAGACAGAATATGGAGCAGTTACCCAGTTGCAGTGCAAATCTGCTCCAGATTTTGTCTGCTCCAGTTTTGATAAATTCCCCCTCAATCTATCTTGTACATACCTGTACAGTAATATAATGTATCTTGTACATACCTATATTTTAATTTAATTAGCTGCTGAGCAGTGCTGAGGACTGTATTCACAGAGAAATACGGTAAAGTCCTGGGACTATCACACGGGGAGTGTATGGGACAGACAGATGTCGGTGAGACCAACCAATGTCTTGATGAGACTCCTGAATGAACTGTTATGCTTACTTTATGCTGAATAAAGACTGTCCTTTTATGTTAAAGTCGGCTTCAGGAGTGGTCACTTAGCGCTCACTATTGTGCTATATTCCCCAAACTATCACAGCATCTAATACCTACCCATATATTAATATAATGCATCTTATACATACCTATATATTAATATAATGTGTCTTGTACATACCTATATATTAACATAATGTATCTTGTATGTACCTAAATAAACTGACCTATAATCACAAGCAGAGATTTAGAGAGTGATAATAGGCCCCTCTAATACTTGTTGGATAATTGTCATGTAAATGGGGCCAATCCTTCACAATCTGCTATGCACTAGAGCCAAGGATCAATATACCATAAATGTGCTGCTATCAAAGTTGGCTAAGTTTTGTGGCTTTTTCTTCTTGCATTCTTAAACTAGCTTCCCGATAATGTGCATACCAGCTCTCACGCATACAGTACCAGGTTTCTGGTCAGGAGCTAATTTTAGCAAAATGTTATGCTCCCAAATCTCCCTGTATTAATGGAAATACCTACAACCCCAGCACCTTAGCTAAAGGACTAGTGGGTGGAAAAAAAGTACATTTTACAGATGCCACTATTTGAAGGAGAAAAAAAAGCAGGGGTAGGCAATCTCTGCATTCCGCTGTAGGGGGCACTACATATCCCATCATGCTTGCTTTGGGAGCCATGCCTGTGGCTATTAGAGCTTTGCAATGCCTCATAAACTTTCACCACAACTGGAGGGCCGAGGTTACTTATCCCTGGGGTAAAAAAACTGCAGAAGTTTTTTTTTAGGTAAAAACTGTGGTATTCAAAGTTTAAAGATTTGCAAGAAAGAAACAGAGAAAATAATTGAATTACTAGGCAGGAAGCCAAGCATGTATATCAAAGAAGCGAGTAATAACAATAATAATAGTAATAATAATAATAAGGTATAAAGACAAATACATTTTAGGACAGTTTAAAAAAAAACAAAACAGTCTTACTTTAGCTGCAACCTGTACAGTGGACCTGACATACCTGTGCTGTCATTGCAGGTTCACATACAGGGTTGTAACTATAAGTGATGGACCCCATAGGAAACCATTAAGGTACTCCCTGTCTCTCTGATCCCCATCTCAGAGGCCAGTGCTCTAGAGATACAGAGTACTATTTGATTTTATAGTACTCATATAGACAGTCCCAAGTTATATATACATTAACTTTATCCAATTGTATTTGCCAAATGCTATTTCTATCTGTATAAATCACTGTGTAGACAAACAGCTCTGGGCCCCCTGTGCTGTCAGGTCCCACAACAGTGGCATAATCTGCTATGGCTATAGTTACTCACTTGTTCACATCCTCTTGACTCTATGTATAGTTGACAATAAATAAATTGTGGTCTTTGCATGCCTCTACTATGCCAAATCAGCTTCTAAAATAGAAATATATTTATAATACTCAGTACTCATCAGAAATTGATTTATTTCTCTGAAACATCAGATGCAGGTTCGTGTTAAAGAAGGTTTATTACACCCATATGCTTCTGACTATTGAATATATTACTTCTGTCTACTATAACACAAGTACTGATATCACCAGCGCTTAACATCACTGTTGCTGCCTATGCTATATCACTATATTACTAACCTGACTATGTAATATTTACCTATTTAATATGTAAGCTTATCAAATTTGCTCTGACTTCTGCTAGTGTTGCAGATTTTGCACAAAAATTACTGTAGACAGCAGCACATTGGATGTAGAGCCAGATGTATTTTTTAATTGGGTGCATGCCAGGTGAACAATGAATATACATTAAATATTCATAACGTATAGATATTCATTATCTACCCTAGCGCCATCTATGTTCTGGCAACATCCAGGATCAGTATATCCTTCCTGGACTGAGATCCTGGCTAAGGAATGACACAATTATGTCTATTATGTCTATCCTAATGCCTGTTCAATAACTTTAATGCCCTTTAATACATTTTGTACACACACCTCCAAGCAGACATCATTCTCCCATGTGTTGGTAGATATATATATTATATAGAGAAATATAAATATGTATGAATTGGAAATGCCTTTTTATTGACCTAGAGCCTTCATACTGTACTTCTGAGAACCTTGACAGCGATTAATGGGAATATCCTGGTCTGCATCATATAATCCATCCATGAATGATCACTTGTGATTGTCAAAGTTTAATCCATGTTTACATACATACAAGTTAGATTTCTGAATCACACATTTCAATGTAACTTATATGTGATTGAAGCTGAAGATTACAACTTGGCCTTTCCCATATTCATCTGTATTGCTCGATCAAGGTGATTTCCTATCTATCTATCTATCTATCTATCTATCTATCTATCTATCTATCTATCTATCTATCTAGATGGATATCTATATATATGTGTATATAATGGTTCAGTAAATTGTGCTTTAGGATTTGCAGTTGTTCTTGGCATCAAAACCTTCATGCCCAAAAAAACTAATGGCAGGTTATCAGAGGCCAACAACTACTGTACAGGACACTCCCATTGCCAAATAATCCCAGGGGAACTCGCCTGTGGCTAGTTACCCCCAGGGATCATCAGATAGGGTCTGCCTATATACCCACATACCTAAAGGGCAGTCACCTAATGTGGTCACATTGGGCAATAATCATATGATGACTGTTTTGCAAGCCAATATTTTAAGACAGTACTTTCACAGTACTTTTGCCTTATTTTATCTCCATTATACAACAGATATACATTTATTTTATTTCTGTTAGCTTACTAAATATTATTACAGTATATATGTGAATATATCCACATGACTGTGGTTGTTCCATGCATATTAATGTTGTATTTTTAAATGTGTTATATCCTTTTGAACGTACATGTATTTAAATGATAGAACGATTTTGTCACAAGCACTTTCAGTATCTTTGTCAGCATAGGGTACATAGAATAGGATCTGTTGTAATACCATGCTATGCTGCTAGTTATTTTTCTCAAAGCTTCAGTTTGAACACGCAATTATTAATTTCATTTTTATTGCAGAAGTCTTTCCTGGAACTTTCACCCTCTAAACTATGCCAAAGACATTTGGGGTCACTTGCAATGATAAAATTCAGCTGGTTTTATGGCTGTACATTTGTTTTTTGAATTTGCACAGTAGCTGCTGATTTTAGCATTATCTGTATATTGCATTGGTTGGCAAAACCAAATATGTCACTTTGAATTAAAGGTCAGCTTAACCCAAAAGGTTTTGTGTGTTTGCTGCTAAGTTAAATCAAATGCTGGCTTCTTAAATCTTTTATGAGATCCATGTACTGCAAAATATGCTTTTCCAATCATTTCTAAAAAAATTCCCTCGCACAGGCAAAAAGCAACCTGCCAGCAAAAGTTCTGGTTGTTTTACCACTTCAGAATTGTTAATGGTAGGTTTCTTTTGGTTGCCTATGCAAACAGATGCAGATTGATATTCTGCATCTTTATAAGCTGGTAAATCACCATGTGTATGGCCAGCATTAGGGACTCTATTGGCCATAA